AAAAAAAAAAAAAAAAAAAAAAAAAAAAAAAAAAAAGAAGATTCTCAGAGCCAAGTGGTGGTCCAGGAAGGCTCTTTGAGTGTTCCTACTGGGCAGCAAGGATGTGCTGCAAGCCCCAGGAACACAGAAAGCAGAAGCAGGTGGGACATGGGGATTGGGCCCGCTTCCCCAGCTTATGCCCAGGCAGCAAGGCTCAGGGCAAGAGGGCAGTTGCCTGAGACGGTGGGGCTCATTGGGTAGGCCTAGCTCTAGGGCCCTGTCCCCCAACTCCTGGGCCTGGGCACTTCCTGCTTGGCCTGCCGTCTGTACCATGAAGTGCTTCCCTCCCACCAGGCCAGGGAAATGGAAAGGGACATCAGGGTTGGGAGCACAGAGGGGCCACACTGGGGGTCCTGATTCCAGTCAGATCCTTCCTGGAACCCAGTGGTTCTCTCCTGGGGGCAGTTTGGGCCCTGGGGAACATGTGATATCTGCAGATAGTTGTGGCTGTCACAACCCAGGGTGGGGAAGTGTTGCTACTGGCATCTGGTTGGGTAGAGGCCAGAAATGCTGCTCAATGCCCTCCAAGGTACAGGATGCTCCCCACCCTGTACCCAACAGAGAATCCCCCAGGCCCAGATGTTGGGTGCTGAGGGCCAGGAGCCTGCCCCTCATCAGTGATCTCCCTGAGAGGTTTGGGAAAGCGGTGACTGAAGGAACAGTGCTCTGCTTCCACACCTGAGGGCTGCCACGGCGGGGTTGTCTCACACTCGCCTGTGGGTTGGGAGACCTAGTGGTGGAATGGGCAGGGCTGTTACATCACCTTCCATGAATGTGGGGCCCCTCCCCACCTGGTGCCTCCCTCGGACTGCAGTGGGGCCCGTGGGTACAGGGCTGGGCAGAGAGAGCACAGCCTCAGCCTGGTGAAGCACAAGTGGGCCGTGGGCATGGCCAACCTCTGGCACAATTGCCTCGCTGGCCGGTGGCCAGGGAACAGGTGGGGTGATTGGCCAGGAAGTCACACAGCAGTTTTCACAGCCTTTGGCATCATCGTCTGTATTAGTTTCCTGGGCAGCTGTAACAAAGGACCCCAGATGGGGGGCTTAAACAACAGGGAGTTGTTTCTCATAGTTCTGGAGCTGGAAGTCTGAGATCAAGGTGTCGGCAGAGTTTGTTTCTCCTGAGGCCTCTCTCCCTAGCTTAGAGACGGCTGCCTTCTCCCTGTGTCTCCCGCTGTGTGTGTCAATGTCCTCCTCTTCTTTTTTTTTTTATATTGAGATATAATTGGCATATAACATTATATTAGTTTCAGGTGTATAACACTCGATATTTCTTTTTTTTTTTTTTTTTTTTTTTTTTTTTTTTCCCCCAAAGCCCCAGTAGATAGTTGTATGTCATAGCTGCACATCCTTCTAGTTGCTGTATGTGGGACACGGCCTCAGCATGGCCGGAGAGGCAGTGCGTCAGTGCGCGCCCAGGATCTGAACCCGGGCCACCAGCAGCAGAGTGTGCGCACTTAACCGCTAAGCCACAGGGCCGGCCCTAACACTCGATATTTCTGTTTGTTGCAAAATGATCACCACAATAAGTCTGGTTAACATCCATCACCACACATAGTTATAAGTTTCTTTTTCTTGTGATGAGAACTTTTAAGATCTACTCTCTTAGCAACAAGTATGCAATACAGTGTTAACTGTAGCCACCGTGCTATTACCTCCCCAGGACTTACTTATTGTATAACTGGAAGTTTGTACCTTTTGACCACCTAATCTCGTCATCTTATAAGGACACCAGTCTTATTGGGTTAGGGCCCACCCTAATGACCTCATTTTAACTTAATTACTTCTGTAAAGACCCTATTTCCAAATACAGTCACATTCTGAGGCACCAGGGGCCACGTTGCACATTATCACAACTAGGATTGGAACCCAGTCTTCCAGCTGCATGGACTCTACCCCCTGCATTGACATCTAGTGATGTCGGCTCTATCTTTTGGGAGCAAAGGCAGCAGAGCCTCACTGACATTTAATAGGGGCATCGACAGGAGGGTGAACCTTGCCATAGCCCACCCGTAAGAGGGTCTCTGCCAACAGAGTCAGAAGAGCAGATTCGAGGGACAAAGGCCCAAGCCCAAGGAACGGGGTTCCCCTTGAGGAAGTGGCAGCAGCTCCAGCTCCACTCCTGTGGCCAGAAGGGAGGGTGTGTGCAGGGAGGCGGTGCTGGTAGGCCCAGTCGGTCCAAGGGTCAAGTGGCAGCAGCAGAGAATCCAGGTGAGGCGAGCACCAGGCAAGGAGTGGGGAGCAGCAGAGGGAGTCCGGGTGGCCGTGTGGTGACCCCCAACACCCCCTCGGCTCAGCCTCTTCCGGAGGTCACAGGCAGAAAGTGTGGAAGGAGGCCTTCTCGGGCCTGCTCAGCTCCAGACTGCCCATTTCCTGGTGTCAAGACCAAGGGTGGCCCTTGGCTTTGCTGGGTGACCCTTCAGAATTTGCAGTGACCACGAGCGAGTGGCTGACATGCCAAGGCTCCCCTGCCTCCCTTTATTTCCCCATGGAGACTTCTCTGGAGGCTTGTCCTCAGGTTGACAAGCAGGGCCACCTCAAGCATCATCTGCCGGGTCTGACTGTTGTCTGTTTCTCCTGCAGAGTGAGCTGGACTTGGAAAAGGGCCTGGAGATGAGGAAATGGGTCCTGTCTGGAATCCTGGCTAGCGAGGAGACTTACCTGAGCCACCTGGAGGCGCTGCTGCTGGTGAGGAGGGTGTAGGGGGCTGAGCGAGAAGGAGTAGGGGCACAGAGAACTCTCTGCTCACACGTCCCAGGTCATCCGTCGGAGCCTGGGGGCAGCCCACCCTCTCCCGGAGTCATTGAGATACCTGTGGGGGGGTCAGAATATTCCACCTCTGTAGAAGCTGGACCTCTTCTAGGGGTGGTGGGTACCAGAGTAAGACAGGTGCCAAACCCAGCTGGCTTTAATTTTTTATTTTTAATGGAATTTAAAAATAAAAGCACGTGGGGCTGGCCCTGTGGTGTAGTGGTTAACTTCGACGTGTTCCGCTTTGGCAGCCCAGGTTCACGGGTTTGGTTCCGAGGCGCGGACCTATACCACTTGTCAGCCACGCTGTGGTGGTGACCCACATATAAAGTAGAGGAAGACTGGCACAGATGTTAGCTCAGGGCTAATCTTCCTCAGAAAAAAATAAAAACTAAAAAAATAAAATCACATATGTCACATAATCATGATTTTCTGTGGTCATACCATGCGCCTGACAAATGGTGAGCCCTCTCATCTATGCCGCCTCACTTGTGCCACCTCACCTGTCACCTGTTCCCTCTTCCAGCCCATGAAGCCTTTGAAGGCTGCTGCTACCACCTCTCAGCCAGTGCTGACGAGCCAGCAGATCGAGACCATCTTCTTCAAAGTGCCTGAGCTCTACGAGATCCACAAGGAGTTCTACGACGGGCTCTTGCCCCGCGTGCAGCAGTGGAGCCACCAGCAGCGAGTGGGCGACCTCTTCCAGAAGCTGGTGAGTTGGCGCAGGTGCACGGCAGCCGCCCAAGAGCTCGTGGCTGGGCAGGGGTCAGGCCTCTCCTTCGACCTGCAGGGGTGTACCGTCCAGGGCTCTCAGGACACCGAGATAACAGTGGCAAGTAAGAGTCTGGGGTATGTCTCACTACCTCAGATGCCAGAGGGCAGGTTGCTAGAGGGAGGCTCTTCCGCAACACCCACACTGGACCCTGGCACGAGGCCCACCCCTGTGTACATCGCTGGGTCTGCTCAAGGCTCCCAGTCTCCAGACTGGTCCAGCTGCCCCTTGAGGACCTCTTTGGACCAAAAAGATGCTGCTGCCCAGGAGACCAGGACTCGGACATGGGGCAAAGGAGACTGGGTGGGGATCAGGGGGATCCTGGAGGGGCAAGTGCAAGTGGGAACCTAGCGGAGGTTTATTATACTTTATTTCATTTTTGCAGTTATCTCAATTAAAGGCTCTTGAATCACTTGGAGAATTTTTTTTTTTTAATTGGGCAGCAGGGGAGACTTGGTCAATAAAAAGCAAGGTAGTGGGAAAGAAAAGTGCTCCCAGTTCTCAAAGGAGGGCCCTGGCAGAGAGCCGTGGTGAAAATGGGCCATCCAGGTGGCCCTCGGCTCCTACCAGCAGCTGTTTTCAGAACAGCTGTTTAATGCTGGAGATTTTGACAGCGACACCTTGCAGGAATCAGGACTAGTCCTTGTGGACAAGCTGGAGAAACGCAAGAGGGGTTGGCTTGTAACTGGGGAGCGAGGACCGAGGGACATCGCCTTGCGATGTGAGGGGGTCTGGTTCCCGAGTAGCAGGGCTCAGCTCTGATCAGGGGCACAAGAGGGCCCGGGCTGCCCATCTCGCCTGAACAGAGGCAGCCTTCTAAGGCAGGTCCCATCTTCACCACCGTGCAGCTGAGGAGACTGAGGAATGGTGGGTCACTTGCCTGGACACTAACCCTGGTTTGTCTGTCTCCAAGAAGAGTGCTTTCCCCTGCCTTCAAGAGCCGTAAGACTGAAAGGCAGGTTGTGGTGGATGAAAGAAGGATTTCTGAAAGGGCTTGATGGGCCAAAACTGCCAGGAAACCGTTCGGCAGAGGTGGCCATGGGTCTGGGTTCGGGTCCCAGAGGCGGAGCCCCCTCACAGGACAGGAGAGGCCCGCTGTGAAGGTAGGTCAGGGGCCTCGCGGGCCTTTGCTGACCACAGGGCCCAAGAGGAGCCAAGAATGTGGCTTTTAAAAAGTCAACAGGATCAGTACAGTCTGGTGATCAGACGGAGGGTTGGCAGGCCGGGCCACACCGGGACAGGGGATGCATTCGGGGTGCACACTTAACCAAGATGTGGATAAGGTGGACCTTGTCCAAAAGGAGGAAACAGTTAAGGGACCTGGAATGAAGGAGAAAACTCTCAGGTGGGAGCTGCCAGATCAACATTTGTATTCCAACATGAGAGGTTTATGTGTAAAAAGGAGTCCCCTGCTCTTTGTGGGTCTAAAGAGGGAAGCCAGTCAGTCTCTTTAGATGGAGGCTGTGGGAGATCAGGATAGAAGAGCCTGGCAGCTATCGGCGCTGCTCAGCAAGGAGGTCACCCCCAATGCTGGGAGCCCCCGTCCTGGGAGAGTTGCTTGAAGGCTCGTGCCAGGCAGGCTTGTGTGACGGGGATTCCGCCTCTGAGGTCCGCTCATCCTGATTCCAGGGTTACCTGGTCGTCTTGTGCACGTGCACTTTCCCTGGAGTGTTCTCCCTCCCAGGGGAAACCAGTCTTCCAGGGGCAGGAGTAGCCCAAGGTCACCAGGCCCCTCTAAGTGCGCAGAGCATGGCAGTTACTGAAAAGCAGGGCCCCCAGCCCTCCAGGCCGCCCAGACATCCAGCTGGCCCTGACCAGGCCAGCTGGCCTCACCTTGGCTCTCACTTGGGCTCAAGCATTCCGTTCCAAGGCATGGCTTTCCTGTTGGTGGTCCCCGCCCTCCACGGCCCTGGGCTGCAGACACACTGGAGCAGAGATGCAAGGAACACATGAGGCGCCTGTTTTGTTGATTCTCGCTCCCTGGGACCCCTTTCCCTGTGGCCAGAGAGCAGGAGGCTGTATTTTGATGCAGGTGCTCCCATCTTTGAAGAATCATGTTGTGGGAAGAAACTGCAACCGGCTCTCTTCCCCGAATAACGTTCCAAAATTACTTGGAAACTTTAAAAAAAAATTTTCATAGTCTGATGAACACTGGAATTTGGAAAGTTTCCTTTGGTTTCCCTGGTGTCCTGGAGCTACCTTTGTGCGTCAGATGTTGTAGCAGAAAGACTGGATAGGGAGGTGGGGCCACGTGTCAGGCCCCAGGAACCTCGTGTTGAGTGTTCACATGTGTGCCACCCGGGCTGGGTGCTGGGGTCTCCGCAATGACAGACAGACACGTCCCTGCTCTGTCCCTTTCAGATCAACATGGCAGGGTTGGCCCAGCATTGCTGTCAGGCTTCCCAACTGGGAGAATCTTAAGACCAAAGGGCCCACGATGCCCTCCCCCAGCCATGGCGCTTCTGCCTCTCAGGAACTCGGGAGCCACACCTGGTAGCTGGAAAGCCGGGTCTGGACTGTGCCTGTCCCCTTCCTATGGGGCTGCACGGGTTAACTGCCACCCATCAGGGTTTTGTTTCTGGCTGAAATTTTATCGGCTCAGTTTTTTGTTTTTCTAATTATTTCAAACTTCCAGAAGAGTTGTAAAAGTAGTACAAAGACCTCCTATGTGTCAGATAGACTGATTGTAACATTTTGCCACATTTGCTTGATCTTTTTTTCTCTTTTTTGTACATGTGCGTGCACGCGCGCGCGCACACACATACACACACACACACACACACACACACACACACACACACTGAATAGTTTGAGAATAAATTGCAGATATCTGCCTTTTTACCCCTAAATACTGCAGTGCGTATTTGCTAGGAACAAGGACGTGCTCTTCCATAGCCCACAGTACAATTATCAACTTGAGGTAATTTCACATTGATGTGATACTGTTACTTAACATGCAGTCCATAAGCAGATTTCTCCCAGGTCTCCCTCGCGTGCTTTATGACCATTTTCATTCTCGGGTTGAGGATCCAGTCCAGGTCACGCGATGAACTTGGTTGTCGTGTCTCTTTAGTTCTCTTCGGTCTATACCGGTTCCTTGGCCTTTGCTTGTCTTCTGTGACATTTTTTTGAAGGGTACCGGCTGGTTTGGGTCTGTCTGCTGTTTTGTCAGGAATAGATTCGGGTTCTGTGTTTCTGGTGGAAAAAACCACCCCAGCAGTGGTGCTGTGTCCTTCTCCATGCCTCGTATTAGGAGGCACATGATCTCTGTCCCATTATCGGTGCAGTTCAGTTTTCAGTTTGCTGAAAATGTGGGAATGAATTGCTTGGAACTTCTCAAAGGCACACGGAAGACGCAAACTCCTTGAGGAAAAGAAGTAGGAGAAGAATTAACGAAAGCGGTTTTGTGTGAGTTTGCTAGGGCTGCCAGTCTGGGGGCTGAAACAACAGAAATCCATTTCCTCACGGTTCTGGAGGCTGGAAGTCTGAGATCAAGGTGTGGGCAGGATTGGTTTCTCCTGAGGCCTCTCTCCTTGGTGTGTAGACGACTGTCATGTCCCTGTGTCCTCACATGGTTGTCCCTCCTTGTCTGTGTCCTAATCTCCTCTTACAAGGACATCAGTCATGTTGGATTAAGACCCACCCTAATAACCTCATTTTTAACCTAATCACCTCTTTAGGCCCCATCTCCAAATACCATCACATCATGAGGTGCTGGGGGTTAGGGCTTCAACATAGGGATTTTGAGGGGATGCGGTTCAGTAGTAACATGCCCTCAGGGCTCAGCTCAGCTGCCACCTCTTTGGAGAGGCTGTCCTGCCCACATCATCTAAAGTAGCCCCCCCCACCCCCGCTCTCACCCCTGCTCTGCTCTCAGCCATCCGCTGTGTTGCATGTTTGTTTACTTATTTATCGTGTGTCTCTCCTGCAGGCCACTCACAGTGTTGGAGTGATTCACAGCTGTGGTGACAGTGCTTAAAGCAGGGCCTTCGTTTTGGTGGGAAAAGCTCAGTGACCAGCGGAGGAGGGAGGGAAGGAAGTGCCCTGGGGCTGACCGTTTGATGAAGAACCTGGTGGGTGGTTGGGGATGCAGTGACTCATTCGGGGTGATCAGTGCAGTAGGGGCCAGGCGGGGCCTCCCGTAGCTGCTGCCTTTCCTCCTGCGCCCCCAGGTCCTCTCTGCAGCCCCCACGGGGAACAGGGCCAGAGACCAGATAGTGCCAAGGGTGCCTGGCTCACCCAGCACCTGGGATTGTCATCTGAAGAAACATAAAATTCAATATAAATGCAAATGCCTGTGGAAATAAAATTTAGGTTCGACACAGAACAAACGTCAGGATCAGCAAAAGCCTTAGGCTTCTAGTTCCTGGTCGGCTGCAGTGGGAGGCCGGGCCAGCAGGCCCCGGTGTCCGCCCTTATTTTCCCCAGGCCTGGATTTGCTGGTGCAAGATGAGGGCTGGTTTCCCATGGCTGCCTCTCAAGGTGACCTGGGGCCCAGAGATGGTGGTGGCTGCACACACCCCGCCCCGGAAGTTGTCACTCAACTGAGTGTCTGAGCAGGAGGCTAAGTGAGGAGACCCCTATTAATGCCTTTGGTTTGACAAAGGACAAACAGAATGCCTCTCGCCTTGCAGCTGGCAGCCAGGGGTCACCCACCTGCCAGGTGCAGTTTGACACACCTCGGCCCTCTCACCAGTTCTGGGCTGGGCTCACGTCTGGGCAGCAGGAGCCTCTCTTCTCCAAGAGCTGCTGGACTGTGTGGTTCTTACGTGTCTGAAGAGATGGGACATGAGCAGGGCCCCATGGAGGGGGAGTGACCTCCTTCTTCACTGTGGTCTCCTGCAGCCAGAACGAGAAGGTGCCATTCCATGCCACCTGCATAGAGACACTTGTCCACGTTCACTGACAACCTTGAACTTTAGCTGCTGCTGGTGGCACAGTTTAAACAGGTGGGGTGGGAGGAATAAGCAGCTGTGGAAGGGAACCGTTACCTGCCTGGGGCTGTGAGTCACTTCTCAACATATCTGGGAGAGGGAAGCGTGCTCAGTGCGTGGGGAGGGGAAGCAGGTGGGAGGCAACAGCGCAGAAGAGCTGAGGTTCCTGCAGCTCTACACTGGCTGCTGCATCTGGGGTTTTACCAGAGCTCTGCACAGAGTCCCATTTCTCAGAAAGATGGAGAGCAACGGCAACTGTCCCGCACCTGTCCCACACCTGTCCCACACACTCTTCCTTCTTCCCTGCAGGCCAGCCAGCTGGGTGTGTACCGGGCCTTTGTGGACAACTACGGAGTTGCCATGGAAACGGCTGAGAAGTGCTGTCAGGCCAACGCTCAGTTTGCAGAAATCTCTGAGGTACGCATGATGCTGTTGACAGGTGCATCCTTCTACCTCCCACAGGTGGGCTGTGGGCTGGTCGTTGGTACACTGTGACCTGGGAGAACAAGATGCACCAAACTGAGGTCTGGTCATAAACCTCAGCTCTGTTTCCAGAAGCCTCTGGGTTGGCTCTGTGAGCCCTGTGCAGGGGACACTGCTGTGAGCAGACAGAAGGAGCAGCCCAAGAGCACCCTGCCTCACAAAGGGCCAGGGCCTGATTCTGGGGCTCGGCCAGGTCCCCTGGACAGATGCTCTCTTGCAGCGTCTGTGTGCAGTGGGGAGTGTCGTAGTTCCCCCCCTCCCCGCCCCCGTTAACAGAGGTCTCAACACAGGAGTCCTGAGGCTGACTTTGCACCTTGTCGCTGGAGAGCAGGTGGGGAGGCGTCATGCCCTATTCCTCTGGCCTACCAGCCACCTTGAGAGCTGGGGCAGCTGAGCAGCTGGCACAGGGGAGCGGGGCTGGTGTTGCTGCGCTCTGTAGACCCACATGGGAGGAGAGCTCCAGGCTGGTACCACACCAGGCCCTGGAGGACCAAAACCTCAAGCTCTGGAGTGTTAGCATGAGGGGCTTCGAAAGAGCCCCTCAGATACAGAGAGGACAAGTGGGCCGTCGGGGCGCTGGTGGCCGTGCTGGGGACGGAAGCCGCAGCACCCTCCCCAGGCTCCAGACGGGGGTTCTCCCTGCCCTTCCACATCTTGTTTCTGCCCCCATGGCGGTTGGGTGACATTTTCCTCTTTCTGGGCCTGTAGTCCCTTTTGATGTCTCTGACTCCTCAGAGCTCTGACTTGCCTTCCTTCCTCCACCAGACAAGGATTCTGGGTGGAAAACCTCGTGTAAGAAATCAGCATTAGGAAGAGAAATGAAACTAGAAATAGGGAGAGTTGGGTCCCTCTTGCTGGGAGATAGTCACAGCCAAACTGTCCTACCTGGCTCTGTTCTGGGGCTTTGTGCCGTTTTATAATTTATTACAGGAGGTGGGGTGTGGTGGGTCCTGGCGCTGATTGTCTCCCGTGGTGATAACATGTGCCTCACTGTTCCTCCAGAGCCCATGGGGCGCCCCACTGCCTGCCTGGTGCTCCTGGGAACGGGCTACACGCACCCACGGCTCCAGGCTGGCTCCTGACTTCCCTCCCTGCCCTGGTTTGCCTGGAGCATTCAGTCCATTCCTTTCTTTAGCTCATTCAGTTAGCAAACCCCCACACCCCTAACAGCTGGAATGTTGGCACAGAATCCTGAGTGACCTTGACAAATTAGAGACCTCATCCTTTAAGAGCATGGTTAAATGGGGCCAAGTTCAAGTCTACCTGGACAGGTTTCTACAGAGGAGGGAAGAAGCAATGGTGGGACGCCACTCAGGGGTCACACGGTCCCACCGACCATGCCCAAGTGGGAATCTGAGCCGAGCCCGGGATGCAGGGAGTGGGATGGCGTCTGGGGCCAGCCAGAAGCCAGCCTTCTGTGAAGCTTGCACCGTCAGGTGGCATCCACTTTGATTCTCCATCCATGTTTCAAAAAAGACTCAGAGAAATTGGAGCCACCTAGACAGAGCAAAAAGAAGCCAGAGGAAACAGAAGCAGCAGGCCATGTAAAGGTGTTGGGGGTTGCATTCTGGGGCATCAGAGCTCAGATGTGGGGGCTGGATGATTGCCTCCAAGGACAGGGAGTGGTGGAGCAGTGGTCCTTCGTCTCCTCCCGGGACCAGTCCTGAGCAATGGGTGTGTGGCTGCGTCCTGTTAGACCGGAGTTGCCCAAGCTGGGCTCTGTGGAATACTGGCTCCCAGCTGATAGATAATAGGAATTTTGGGAAAAGGGCTTCTGGAGTCGAGTCAAGTTTGGGAAATGTCAAGTTAAACCAAATTTGTAAGTTTCCTTGAGGTAGGACGTCCCTGAGCTCCGAGATGCTCGCGTGCATTGCGCTGTCCAGGGGCACGTGGCTGCTTCCCAGGCTCATGTGACCACGGCACCTGATTTTTGCAGTCTCTTGTTTAGCTCCCACACCTCCTCACACTCCGTCACACCCTTTGGGAACTGCTGGTGCAGACGTGTGGAGGAATAATCACCGTGCATGAGGGGTGTTGAACTCTCAGGAAAGGTACCAAAGTGCACTGTGGAGTTTGGCCCCAGTGAGCTTAAAACAGCGTCATTTTCAGTCTTGAGAGGTTTCCTGCAGCACAAGAGGTTGGGGAAGCAAACTCCAAGCCCTTTCCCGTCCCTGTGTTGTTCTTTTGTTCAGAAGCCTGAGATTAACCTCAGCTTCTTTCCAGAGACGATTTCGGGCACACAGGGATCTTTTATCCTCATTTCTCTTGGTTACCTTGGACCAAATCAGTGATGCCTTCGACGCAGTTGTGTCGAAACACGATGTGCCCACTGAAAAATTCTGCTGTCCTCAGGACTCTTAGCGCCTCATACGTTAGCAAGTATGTTTGCAAAGTCAGGAGAGGGTGGGGTGGAGGTGGAATCCGGTGTGAGTCTCAGTGGTGGTGCGCCCCCTGCCCCAGCCGTCTCCAAAGGCAAGTGCTCTTCCGACCCACCAGCCTCCTGCGCGCTAGTTAACTGCGCCGAGAAAGTGGTTCTGTGTGCATTTACGAAGGGCCCTGTGGTTTGCCTCAGTTTGCAGGATTCTCTGTGTCAGAAACTCTCAACCAGGGGTGATTTTGTCCCCAAGAGACACTTAGAAATGCCTGGGGATTTTTGATTGTCACAACAGGAGGCGGAGGTGCTACCACACCTGTAGGTGGAGGCCAGGGATGCTGCTCATCATCCTACAGTGCAGAGGATAGGCCCCCACAAGCAGAATTTCCGACCCCAAATGTCAGTGGCGCTGAGGTTGAGAAGCTGTCCTGGGTGAACCGCACGCAGCACCCAGGACGTGCCGTGTGCTCAACTTGCCCTGTTTTTCATGCTGTGGCCCAGGACTCACCCGTGAGGTTTGCCGCATCTGTGGCTCTTTGTGGTGAGAGAAGGGTGAGATTTCTGCTGAAGGTTCCTGACCATGGAACTTCCTGCCACATCAAAGCTGCTTCAGTCGTCCCGGGTGAAAATATGCTTTTTTCTCTGCAGAACCTGAAAGCCAGAAGCAACAAGGATGCCAAGGACCAGACGACCAAGAACTCTTTAGAAAGTGAGTTCTTTCTGCCAAGGCCTCTTCTTGCCCCTTGCGGGGGTGGCTGCTGCAAGCAGATGGGGCATCTGGTGGAAAAGTGAACACGGCGCCCAGTTGGGTCACCCACTAGTGCCTTTGCTGCTGTAGACTTCCAATAGTGAGAGCAGGGACGAGGAAGGAGCAGCACTGGGCATGGTCCTGGATGCGGTCAGCATCAGGCTGCCACCAGCAGTAGCAACCAGGAAGAATGGAGTTAGCAAACGCCCACAGACCAGACACTTCCGAGCATTTAAAATGTCGTCGTGTTGTCCTCAACAGCCCTGTAAGGAGGAGTTCATCTTCCCTTTTTTTCAGATGACAAAACAGGTTTAGAAAGAAGGTAACCCGCATGTAACACAGGTCCTAAGGGGCCGGGCAAGGGGTGAAGCCAGAGTTGTCAGGCTCCAGGCCTGCGTGTTCAGCCTCCTCACTCCGGGCAGACAGTGGGATCAGGGATGATAGGTCCCTTCTCACTTCCGATTGTTAGGATGGTGTGAACAATTATACTCACAGAGAACAGCAGACGTGGCTCCAGTGCCAGAGCTTCACCATGCTCTCAGCCTTGGTTTCCCCATCTGTAAAATGGGGTAACAATGCATGTCCTACATTAGTCATGGGAGTCATGTGAGGAAATGCACCTGATGTGTGTCAGAACCCATCTAAGCATCTGTGCCCCTGGTGGGCCAGGCTCACCATCGTCACAGAGAAGTAAGATGGCCAAGGCTGGCTGGGGCTCCTGTGTCGCTGGAGTCCAGGTGTCCACAGACACTTGTAAATCCGAGAGGTGTGTCAGCACCTGAGTCAGTTCCTGCTGTTCTCAGAATCAGGCCTCCAAACTGTGCAGGGGTGGATGTGGAGAGCAGTGTGCTGGTCCGCTCCCGGGGGACCCTCTGGGCTGGAGAGCGGGCCTCCTACCAGGGTTGGGACCCTTGCCAGCCCATCCTCGCCAGAGTGCTGCCAGGCTCCCCAACGCCCAGGGGCGGGGCATCAACACTGAGCCCTTTTTAGCACTTGTCACTGAGTCAGCAGGCTTGGGTTCTGACCAGCAGCTTGGCCTTCTGGGTGCTCTGGGTTTGCCCTGGTCACTAAGCAAAAGCTGCTCAAGGTTTGCCCTTGTCATGGAGGAGGTGGGAGTTCCCAGGGGATATGGAGGTTGGGGCTGCTCCCTCCGCCCCAGCACTTGCAGTGAGGGTGGGCAGACGGATGGTCTGGGTCTGCTTTCTCTGTGTGTGGCCATTTCTCACCCTGCTCCTCTCTCCGTAGCCCTGCTCTACAAGCCTGTGGACCGGGTGACGCGCAGCACGCTGGTCCTGCATGTGAGTCGCTCCCCCCGGGGCCTTCTCACCCTGGGGTTCTTGACTGCTGCTGTCCTGGAGCTGACGCTGATGTCTGTCAGTTTTTCCCACCTGCTCCCTTATCTGTCACCTTTATTGAGGATGTGGAAATGGGTGCCTCTGCCACCCAGGGGCCCACGAGAGATGGAGGGGTGAATGGAGCAGGCTCTCCAGTTGTCCCAGGTGCTCTCCCAGGGCTGGGCGCAGGGAGGGAGCATCCTGTCGCACGTGGGAAGGGCCTTGCCATCGGGGTGGGGGCACAGAGGGCAGGTGCATTCTGGCCCAAAGGGATGACCGCTGCCTCCCAGCTGGGGACAGGGTGCGTGGGGAGGCCCCCACCTCGGTGGGGCTGCCCCTGGAGGCAGTGGGGACTCACTGAAGGGGTCGTCTTACTACTGAGAAACAAAACCAGAAAAAAAAAATGGCCCCTAATCCTACTGCCTGGGTGACTCTGTTCATATATATTTAGAGCAAGTTGTACACATGTGTTTTTTTTTTTTTAATTTACAACCAAGTCGCTGAAGTATGTGAAGTTTTCATTTCCTTTCCTGCTTCCTCCCCACAAAGGAGCAGCTACCAGAAGGATTCTGAATGCGCGTGCCGCACGTGTGAACATCTTTTTTAATACACAGGTGTCATGATGTACATATCATTCCACACCTTGCCTTTTTTCCCCTTAATATTATACCATGGAGATTGTCCCACTTTGTCCCAAACAGCTCTGCCTTGTTCTTTTTTAAGCTACATAGCATTCCATCAAGTGGACATTTCATAATTTCTTACCATGGTCTGATTAAGGGTTATTGGATGGAGGGAGATGAGATGAGATTTGTGGTTTGGAAGGCTCTGGTGGGTGACCTGTTGGAATCTCAGAGACCCTCTATTCCGTCCCCTCGCCATGATTAGCCCAGGCCTGCATGGCTGAGCATCCTGGCAGGGAGAAGCCTGAGCTGCCCGGGAGCAGTTGTGGGGGGCTGACCTGTGACCCCCAACACAAGAACCTTCCTCTGCTCTTATGTCATCTCTCTGGATTCTCCTTGCAGATAGGATTCAGGAGCTATTGACCTTGAGCACGAATTACGTGCATTCCTAGTGGAGGAGTCAGTATTCCCATCTCCATTCCAAAGAGGCTTAGGCTCTTATCTGAAGGAGGGGGAGCCGGGAAGGCCCAGGGCTTTCCCCTGACCTTGCAGGGACCAGTGGATCAGTCCCTTGCAGGGACTGAAACCGACACTGCCCCCTAGGGTACATGCTGCAATGTCTGGAGACAGTTTTGGTGGTCACAACCACAGACAAGGAGGTGCTACTGGCATCTAGTGGGTAGAGGCCAGGGATGGTGCCAAACATCTCAGAGTGCACAGGCCAGCCTCCACCACAAAGAGTTATCCAGCCCAGAATGTCACCAGTGCTGAGGTGGAGAAAGCCTGCCCTAGACCCTTAGAATGGGAGCCCTTCTAGCAGTATGCAGCCAGCATGGGCTTGTGGGAGCGCTATTTAGGACCTGCTTCTGGAATGCTGCTTGCATAAGCACTGTCCAAAGAGATCCAAGCCCAGGCCTGTCGTGAGAGGTGGTGGTAACACCTGGGGAACCAGTAGCCCTGGGTTATGCACTGTGTGTGTCTGTGGTTTGCACACCACAGTGGATGCCAGGGCCGCACTCGTGTCCTTTCTCTCGGGCAGGACTTGCTGAAGCATACTCCCTGCAGCCACCCCGACCACCCTCTGCTACAGGACGCCCTCCGAATCTCGCAGAACTTCCTGTCCAGCATCAACGAGGAGATCACGCCCCGCCGGCAGTCCATGACCGTGAAGAAGGGAGAGGTGAGCGTGACCGGAGGTGGTCTGGGTTTGCCCAGCCTGTCCACGCCAGGGGACACAGGGCCCCTCTCTGGTCCTCAGCAGACTGTCCCTGGACAGTTCAGCCTAACACAGGAAACATGTTGCCCTTTGGGGTCCTTGACTCTGGCTGGGTAAAAGCAGTCCTGTGTGAAGGGCGTCAGGGTGGAGCGGCTGGGGTGTGCGCCTCACTTGGACACCTCTTTCCGTTGTGGCGGATTCTGTCCAGGGCCCACCTTTTCTTCCCAAACCCTTGCCAGCACGGGGTCCCCGCTGAGGAGGCCGGTGAGAAGGAGGGCAGCATTTTGTCTGCCTAGAACCACCTAGTTCCTCCTGAGTGTTCTTTCCTTAGAAACAGTTGTCACCGAATTTAAGAATTTAAAAGGGGGAAGAAAGGCATGCGTGGTTTATATTTGTGACAGGAGGAGGGCTAAGTCTTCAGCCAGGAAGGTTCTTCTTCCCCCTCCTCCCTCCCTCCCTGACAACCACCTGGGTCTTTATCTCCCTGCATGTCATCAATAAGAGGGTGTAGAACACAGGGGCCCAGAATGCGCTGACCCAGCCCGGTGGCCTCTGACCCTTCCTGGGAGGGGCCCAGCATGGCGCTGGGCTGGTGCTGTCCCGGGTGGGCAGCGCATAGTGAGATAGCGGAGGTGTGCCCGTTGGGGAGCCGGCATGCAGCATAAACACCCTTTGTCGGAAGCAGCACCGAGGCAAGGCGAGCTGGCCCATGGCTTCTGGGGTCTCATGTGGGGACAGGAGCCAAATGACCTGGGCAGGACACGGGCTGGCAGAGAACCTGACTGTAGCTGCCCCTGAGAGCCACTTCCTCCACTTTCTTCCGGTTCGTGTGCCAGGTGCTCTGCACTGAGGGCCAATCTGCCCAGCATCAGGGTTTCTTTTTCTCCTCCCGCCCTGGGCTGGCAGGCAGGCCGCCTTCGGCCCCATCCTCCGTACACCTCTTTGGGAAGTGGTACCCTGAGTGCTGGGTGGAAAACTCCCACATGCCCGGAGTCTCATCAGGCTTGACCACGTGTGAGGGGTTTGGTCAGTTTCTCCTGCTGGGCTGGCTCAGGAATGGCCGTGGAGGAGGGAGCTGTCCCCTCCACTCTACTCTCTGGGTTTGTCTGGGCCCTGGAGCCAGGCCCACTCTGAGATGTGATCACAGCATCACTGTTGACTCACACAGCAGGCATCCTGGACCTTACTGCCTCCCCTCCCTGGCCTGTTCTTCATCTTTATAGCAGGGTGGAAACACAGCCCCACCACACTGAGTGCCAGGGTACCCAAAGGGGCACAATTTATGGGAAGAGCCCCACCGGCTGGCACATGGCGGCAGTCCCGGCCATCTGTGTTAGCTCCTCGGCAGTCTCTGAGCTCGTGGAAGGCAGGAGTGGGTCCCCAGCACCTCCAGGGGCCCCACACCTGGTTGTCTGATGGCTGGAACCTGGAGGGATGGGGTTCAGATCTCGTTTCCTGGAGCAACAACAGGGCCCTGGTTCACCCCACCCCCGGCTCAGGGACGCCAGAGAGCAAAGCTTTGGCCTCCCTGTAGGCAGTTCACCTGGATCTAACCGGATGTGCAGTTTGCTTCTGCCAAGACTCTTTATACCCAGTCGGTTCGTACCCTACTCTCTCTTCCTCCTGGGATGCCGGCTCTTTCTCTTTTGCCGACTGTTCTTTTCCTTTTTTTTTTTTTTTTTTTTTGGTGTGAGGAAGATCAGCCCTGAGCTAACATCCATGCTAATCCTCCTCTTTTTTTTGCTGAGGAAGACCAGCTCTGAGCTAACATCTATTGCCAATCCTCCTCCTTTTTCTCCCCAAAGCCCCAGTGGATAGTTGTATGCCATAGCTGCACATCCTTCTAGTTGCTATATGTGGGATGTAGCCTCAGCATGGCCGGAGAAGTGGTGCGTTGGTGCACGCCCAGGATCTGAACCTGGGCCGCCAGTAGCGGAGCACGCACACTTAACCCTAAGCCACGGGGCCGGCCCCTCGCCAACTGTTCTTTAATGAGAGTGCTGACCTCCTGGGGAGCAAATTGCGAGTTCTTTTCCCCTTAGCTTTTTGTATGGTGTATCTCTAACTGCCGTTCAGGATCCCCGGAGAGAAATGCCTTCTTGATCCTTGAATCATTGGAGGCAGCTGCCTTAGGGAATTGAGGAAAATCAGATGTTGCCTGGGAGTTGGCAGCCTGGCCCTTGTCCCTGCATCTGTCATAACAGGCCTCCTTCCGTGCTGACCCCCAGTCGGGGTCTCAGGGTGACTGAGCAGGAAGTGTGTAGGGGCCAGGGGCTTTTATCTGTGCCCATCCCCACCCCCTGCCAGCGTCTGGCCTTGTGGCCTCAGTGATATTTGCTTAGTGAGAGGGATCACTTGGGTACCTCAACTGTGAAAAAGGGAGGAGGGCTGTTGACCTCTGAAAGGTCATGAGTCCGACTTGCACGAGCCTTCATGCAGACCTTTCCGTCTGGTGCAGGGTAAGGGAGATGGTGGCTAGACCAGGATGACAGACAGATACCCACACTCGTGCCCCTGCCCACAGCCATTCCAGGGGCAGGCATCACTAATCAATCGGGCACTGACAGCCTGAGCTTCCTCTTCAGTGTACCCTTCCGGGCTGCCCAAGCCGGTTTGCAATCCCCGTTGCAGTATAAAGGACGCTGGACAGGCGGTCTCCCGACCTGGGTTCAGTCCCACCCACTGCTTACCCGCAGTGTTGCTTTGGGGACACCCTTTTTCTTTGCAGGATGTCCATACTCTCTGAGAGCAGTGAGTCAGGGCGTGGGACCTCTCCACAGGGTTGTTGTGAGGCTGAAAAGGTTTTACGACCTGAGGGACTGTATGAAAGCAAGGGGCAATGATTTCCCCATGTGGGCACCATCTGTGTTGGAGGTGGCGAGAGCGCCTTCTGCATCACCAGCCAGGAGAGAATGTACAGGTCCTGGACGGGTGCGAGCTGCAGGCTGCTTCCTTTTAGAATTTGCAGCTGGGGGGCCCGCCCAGTGGTGCAGCAGTTAAGTGCGTGCACTCCGCTTTGGCGGCCCAGGGTTTGCCGGTTCGGATCCCAGGCATGCACCAACACACTGCTTGTCAAGCCATGCTGTGGCGGCATCCCATATAAAGTAGAGGAAGATGGGCCCGGATGTTAGCCTAGGGCCAATCTTCCTCAGCACAAAAGAGGCATTGGATGTTAGCTCAGGGCTGATGTTCCTCACAAAAAAAAAAAAAAGAAGAAGAATTTGCAGCTGGGGAGGGGCTGGGCTTGGGAAATACCTATTTTTTTCCCAGGTGCCTGTCTCTAAATTTGGTATCTGACATTGAATATCAAGTTTTCAAAGAGAGAGAGGATCTCTGCTTCTGAATTCTCATGACAGCTCCGTGAGGTCAGAGGTGTTCTCCCATTTTACAGGTGAGGAAACCATGGCTCAGAGAGGTTGAGTGACTTGCCCACGGTCACACAGCCACTAAGTAGCGAAACCAAGATGTGAGACATGTGTCTCCTGACACCTGTGTGTACCCCCCAGGTGTATTATGATTTGGGTCCCTCTCGCCCCCTATGGACTAACGGGACTGTCCACCCTCCTCTTGTCCCTGCGTAACGGGCTACCTGGAGGTGGGTGGTTACAGGAGCAGGGTGTGCCCCTTTCTGCTTGGCACACTGCCCCGGTCTTAGGCATCAGGTGGAGCCACGTCCACGGCTTCTCCTGCTGGGAGTATGTGGTGGGGGCTCTGTTTCCAGCTCCCCTGGCGTTTGGTAGGGAGAGGACAGGTGCCTCCTCCACTTGGGCGTTTGGAGGCGTTCCATGGGCGCTGCTGGCCTCCTGGGAGGTGGCATCTCCCCACCTGCTCAGCCTGGGTTAGGGTGTGTGGAGAGGCCCAGGTGTGAGCCCTGAGCAGGGCCAACAGCCCCCACCCTCTATGGCTCCTGTAACTTCGTCATCCTTTTCAGCCAGTTCCCACAGCTCCAGGAAGTGGCTTTGGACAGCATACAGGTGACTTCCTGACGCTGAACTGTGGCCGGCAGCGTCCTGGCCCTGGCACCCCTGGGGCCTGTGAGCAGCATGTGCTGCCTAGGAGGACACCCTCCTCGGCCTCCTAGGAACCTGTCAGGATCCTGCAGGCACATTTTCCCCCAGGCCTGGGTCCTGTGGGCTGGTGGGTGGGTGCTCATTCATTTAGCTGAATTAACTTTGCAGTTCAATGCCCAGATCCACACTGCTGGGTGATTGCCCCATGTGGCTGCCTGTCTATCTGCTCCGAGCTGTGTGCCGTGTGCTGCACAGCATCCCCAGCTCAGGCTTGCAGGGGAATAGGATGATCCTGTTTGGATATTTTGTTTCCTAAGAGCCAGCTGTATCCTGGAGCTATTTTCTGCCGGGGCTTCTGGAGGCCCCTCATGGAAGAAGAAGGCAGGCAGATGGGCTGAACAGGAGCTGCTGGGAAATGTCACTGGTGCAGGCTGAGGCCGAGAGGTGGTGAGGCTCAGGTGGAGGAGACAGGAGGCCTTTTGGTTGAGGATTAGAGTTTCAGGGTCCAGACTCTGGTGGGGGTGAAGACAGGGCAGGGGCTGGGGTCCCCAGGGCCACCAGATGCCAGCCTGGTGGTATCAGCTGTGGGATGGGGGTGTGCCTAGACCACGTGATGTTCACAGTTTCAAAGATGTCCACCATCTGGGGGCCATTAGTTTTGCCTTCCAAGTCCCCCATAAGAAGCTAAGGGAAGCCTTGGCAGGCAGAATTCAAAAAGACCGTGAAGCCATAAGGGCGGCCAGTGCCCCACATGTAGGCCTTTTCTTGGCCCTTCATAAGTATTTGCAGGTGGAGCTTAGATTCTTGACCTCTCTGGACCCGGGTTCTGATTATTCCAGGAGCATGGGCACATTACTCACCTCTCTCAGCCTTGCCTTCTCCGTGGAGCAGGATCCTGCTGCCTGGGACAGTTCTGCCAAGTGAGATGAGATGTTCCGTGTAACGCCTTCTCCA